CCCAGGCCAGCAAGTTGAAGTGGGACGACTTCACCGAGCTGGCCTTCGAGCGGCAGGGGCCCACCGCCCACGAGGTCTCCGAGAAGACCCGCGTCGAGCCAGCGCCCATCCAGGAGGCGGGCCCCACTGACGTTGCCCTCGTTGGACAGCCTGCGCTCGAGAGGGTCCTCGCGGACTGGATCCCTCTCTGGGTGGACCCATTTCGGACGAATCAGGAGCGCTCAGTCCCATCACGATCGACGACGTCAAGCTGGCGGCCCGAAAGTTTCCCAAAACCACGGGCTTGGGGTGGGACAACTTCCATCCTCGTTTGCTGCTGGAGGCCGTGGTGGGAACAGTGGTGGGGACAGTGGGGACAGTGCGACAGTGGTGGCGGCACTGGTGGGGACAGTGGGGACGGTGGTGGAACAGCGGGGACAGTGGTGGTGAGGACAGTGGTGCTGGGGACAGCAGTGGGGGATGTGGTGTGGACGGTGGGACCCAAGAGTCGTTTGCCAGCGGTGAGCGCGGGGGGGGGAGGGGGAGGGGTTCGAACCGGTATAGTGACCCCCCTCCCGGTTTTCTGGAGGGGGGGGGTTCGAACCCGTAGTGACCCCCCCTCCCGGTTTTCGGGGGGGGAGGTTCGAATTGGTAGTGACCTCCCCTGGTTTTCCGGAGAGGGGGGGATAGCGTTCGAAGCGGTAGTGACACCCCCGGTTTTCCAGAGGAGGGGGGGGGAGGGGGTCGAACCTGTAGTGACCCCCCCCCGGTTTTCTGGAGGGGGGGGAGGGGGGGGTCGAAAAATGGAGTGACCCCCCCGGTTTTCCAGAGGGGGGGGGGGTTCGAACCCGTAGTGACCCCCCAGGTTTTCGAGAGGGGGGGGGGTCAGGGGGGGGGGGGGCCGGGGGGAAAGGTGAAGGGTTCCAGTAGGGGGGGGGGGATTTTCGGAGGGGGGGGAACCCTAGGCTACGGAGGAAGAGGGCGGGGAATTTTCCACAGTAAAGCGGCGGTGGATGACGCTCTCTCAAGTATCACCAAACCGTGCCCCTGGCCCCCAGTTTACAACAACAACGGCTCCCGCCTGATACTTCCTCATTATTGATTCCGAAATCACGCTCTCGCACGGGACTCCCTCACAATGTTGCAAGAATCGCGCTCCCACGTTGGACGCCCTCGCAATTTACTCAGACGCCGCGCCCTCGACACTCAGGAATCACGCTCTCGCTGTGGATTTTCTCTCGATTTAGTTGGAAATCGCACTATCGCTCGAGACTCACTCGCAATGCAAGCAGGACGCACGCTTCAGCAACCCGGCTGCCCCTTGTCTCTTCCTTCCATCCGTCCTCTCTTCCCCTGCCTTGGGGGCTGCACGAAATACACGATGGAGGTAAGAAAGACGTACCCCTAAGGAGGTACGGTCGAAGTGGGAAAGGGTGGGTATTGAGGGTTTGGCATATACGTGTTGGATGGCACGAGAGCAGACAAGAGCGAACAGCCTTAAAATGATTGTGGTGGTTGTGGGTGTGATTGGTGTTGTTGGTGTTGTTGCTAGTTGGTTGGTTGAGTGGTTGGTCGAGTGGTTGGTTGGTTGGTTGGTTGGTTGGTTGGTTGGTTGGTTAGTGGGTGTTGGTGCTGTTGCTGATCCCCGCTCCGGGGTACATTGTGTTTTTCAGTTGAAGTGCCATTCCTGGGGCTCGCACCCTGTTTTGTTTACCAAGGAAAATCTTTAGTCTCAAAATTGTCATGTTGGCGCCTGGTTTACAACAACAGCGGCTCCCGCCCGATACTTCCTCACTATGTATTCCCACATCGCGCTCTCGCGCGGGACTTCCTCACAATATATGCAGGAATCGCGCTCTCGCGTGGGACTTCCTCGCAATGTATTCAGACGCTGCGCCCTCGACACTCAGGAATCACGCTTTCGCTGTGGAATTTCTCTCGATCTATTTGGAAATCGCACTTTGTGGATTTCCTCTCGATGTATTTGGGAATCGCGCTATCCCTCGGGATCTCCTCGCGATTCATACAGGACGCACGCTTCAGCAAACCGCCTGCTCGACCTGGCCGCATGGGCCCGCCGTCCCGACCCGCCCGTTAGGGTCTATCCGCCTGATCTGCTCGTCTGGTTGTGCCATGTGTTCTCTGATCCCGGCTCCCCTCCTGTTACCCTCTCTCTTGTGTTCCATCCTCCTCCGTTCCCCCTGTCTTATGCTGCTCCCATCGTGCTTAAGGGCCACATCCCAGAAATTATCTCGAGCACCTAGAAACAAAACGCTGTCCCTTCCTTCCATCTGTCCTCTCTTGCCATGCTTCAGGGGATGAACGCAGTACACGCTGCAGGTCAGAAAGATATACACCCCCAAGGGGGTACGATCGAAGACGAAGTGGGCGGGCATGGAGGGTTTGGGATGTACACGTTGAACGGCACGCGATCAGATAAGAGCGAACAGTCTTAAAATGTGTTTTGTTGCTGTTGTCGTTAAATGTTGTTGTTGTAGTTGTAGTTGTAGTTGTAGTTGTAGTTGTAGTAGTTGCTGTTATGTTGTTATTATTGGTGTTGGTGTTGCTATTGGTGTTGCTGTTGATGGTGATGCTGTTTTTGTTGTTGGTGTTGTTTTTGCTGTTGTTGGTGTTGCTGTTGCTGTTGTGGTTGCTGTTGTTGTTGGTGCTGTTGTTGTTTTGTTGTTGTTCTATTGTTGTTGTCGTCGTCGTCCCACTCGCGACCCACCCGCGACCAGCCCGCGACCCACCCGCGACCCACCCCGCGACCCACCCCGCGACCCGCCCCCTCTTTTGATCCGCAACCGCGGGATGCTACATAACAGAAGCCTCCGACCCCTTCCGGCCCTGCCCTTTTTCCTCGCCTCTCACCCCCCCCACGAGGAAGAAGGATCGGGGGGGGCGGAAGCGACTGGAGTGGAAGCGAAAACCAGCAAATAGCAAGGATGGAGGACGCAAGAGGTACACCTTGTGAAATGGTTAAGAAATCATGGGTTAAGAAATTCATGGTCTCGCGCCGGCCGGTTTCTTAAATCTCGTTAAGAAATGTCCAGGGTCTGGCCCACGATCCCGGGAAAACATCACGTTTAAGACATTTCCCCCGGGTCTGGCCAGCGCCGGTGGCTTCTTAAACCGCGTGTCTAGGACAAGGAATCTCGAGACTCTGGCTGCAAAGCTGCGTTTTCTTAAGCATCGAGCGAGGTGTAGGAAGGCCAGAAGGGCGATGCCCGATGCTCCTCGACGCCCCAGAGGTAGAGCGGGGTGGTAATGGTTTCTCCAACTGGATGCAACGCGGCGGCGCGAGCCGGGGCCCGCGAGGTCGAGATCTGTGGCCGCAGGGGGGCTGTGGAGCTCTCGGCCCGATCCCCGGGACGGAAGCCAGATCGTGGGAGGCCGTCCCAGACATGCTTGTGTCGTAAAAAACTCAGGACGGAGGTTTTTCCCCGTTTTCGGGCTCTGGAGCCCTTCGCCGGGCCTCGGGACCGTCAAAAAACGACTCAGGATGAAAAACTGGCCCCGGGGAAAAGGTCGGGACTTCCGGGGGCGCCGTCCTGAAAAAATCAGGACGTCGCATGTCTGGGGTTAATGCGGGATGGCGATTAATAAAAAATGGGGGGGGGAACGATGAAAAAAATAGTTTCCTGCTATCTCTGCATAAGTTTCTGACTGGAGGAGGACGATGAAAAGAAATAGTTTTCCAGCCCGCGGCCGGTTTGTTCTAATCGTCATCCCGGCGCCGCCGCGTGAACACGACCCCCGGTCATTTATTAATCGTCATCCTCCATTATGGAGGGGGCCCAGGGACACACGAATCCGCCGACCTCCTGGGAATTCGTCGGCGTCTGAAATCTTTCCCCCTTCCCAGGCCCCTCCCCCAGGAGCCCCGCCCGGTCGCTTTGCAGGGGGGGGGGGGGGTCCGGGCGCCCCTTAGGGGGTACTCTAATCAGAGATTCGGCCGGGGGGGTATCGAGGGGGCCCCCCAAGAGACCTCCAAGACGGTCCTTAAGAGGGCTCCGAGGCGCAGAAGCACCGTCCAAAGACGCCCACGAGGGCCTCCAGACAGCCCAGGATGCCTCCAAGACGCCTCAAGAAGCTTCCTACGAAAGCGTAAAATGTGTGTTCCTTTGTTTTTCGAAGTTTTGCGTATTTCCCCTTCCCGGGCATCTGACGCTGGAAGACGCCCCAAGAGGCCCCCACGACCGACTCAAGACGGTCCAAGAGGCCCCCAAGCGGGCCCCTAGACAGCCCTAGATGGCCCCAAGCTGGCCCACCTCTCCCCCGGGAGCCCGGCCCAGTCGATTTGGAGGGGGGGGGGCCCGGCGCCGCGGGGGGGCACTTTAATGAGAAATTCTGCCGGGGGAGCATCGAAGGCCAGAAAAGGGGCCAGCGCATACTGAGAATTTTCGCCCGCTTCCCCATGCGTGCACGGCTAATACTGCGAATGGCAGCCCAACAAGCCCAGAAAAGGCCCCCAAGAGGCCCCCAAGAGTCCCCCCTGAACCCCCAAAGGAGCACCAAGAAGCTACCAAAAGGCGCACAAGAGGCCCTCAGGAGCAACACGCAACAACCACCAGTTCCCCAAGGGGTCGTCGGTGTGGCGTAAGCCCAACGATAAATATTCACAAATCCCCAGATCCCCCATGTGTTCCCATATCTTCTGAGCTTTTGTCCTCCCCACACTTCCCATATTTCCTATACTTTCCTGGGAGTCGACGATGAATTGTGCCTGTGTGATTCTTTCCCTCTTGAATTATGACAGCCCCGGGGCCCAACGACGGCCGCAGGATCTCCTGCGATGCAGCAGCACACCCGACTACTTCAACGATAGGCCTGTCTCCACCACCACCACCAGTTGGAGGAGGAGGTGGAGGAGGAGAATGAGGAGGACGAGGAGGACGAGGACGACGAGGACGAGGACGACGAAGATGAGGAGGAGAAGGAGCAGGAGGACCCCCTCCCCCTCCAAGTTATGGTGGTGGTGGTGGTGGAAGACAGGCCCATCGTTCAACCGAAACCATCGC